CGGGGGGGGGGGGGGGGAGAGGCAGAGAGAGAGAGAGGGAGACACAGAATCTGAAGCAGGCTCCAGGATCCGGGCTGTCGGCACGGAGCCCCACGTCGGGGCTCGAACTCACCAACTGGGAGATCATGACCGGAACCGAAGTTGAACGCTTAACCCACTGAGCCACCCAGGGGCCCCCTTCCAGGCTTTCTTCTTCGTGTTTCATAATGGTGCCCACGGTGAGCCCCGTCCCGCGGAACTGGACAAGCGAATGGAGGTTCAGCCTGCCCAGAGGGTCTACAGCGGGTTCCGAGCACCTCACCCAGCCCCAAGCAAACGCCACCTGGGGGGGGCGGCGCCCCCGGCCCGCTCAGGGCTCCCCGTGCATTGAGAATGATCCTCAACGTGACCGCCAGGGGGCAGCCGCGCCCGCAGTGCCTTCACTGGCCACGTCTGGCCGACAGCGCCCAGTATTTTCGGAGGTCTTGATCACTGGCTCCGGCTTTGTTGACCTCATGCAGACGCACCCGGGGGAACCTGAGGGACCAGTTGTTCCCAATCTCCAGACTCCGGTTTGTATTTAGATTTGTTTCATGCGTCCAGCCAGTCCGCTTCCTTAAGGAGTTTACCACCCCTTAATCGATCCATTCACGGCCTTCTGTGCATTTCTTTTGTCTGCAAGCCCTTAGAGCCTTCGGTTATCTCCCTCCGTCTGATTTAGTATTTACCTCTCCTTTGGGCCCACAGGGAAGTCATCTACTGATGTGGATTTAAGATAGGGTGTCGCCTCGGGAGCCACACGCACTGCGTTAGCCGGACTCAGTCCAGCCTTGCCTGGGAATTCGAAGGTTATGGAATCCACAGCAGTTTTATCTGCCTGTCGGCTTATTTCTAACTCTTGTTAGAGTGGGGCAGCGTCCTGAGGGGAGACTAAAGTTCAGCGCTGGGCAAAGGCAAGATTTCAAACCATATTCTCATATTTTGCAGCTTGCCTTCCTTTTGGCTTGGTTTGCCTTTTTTTTTTTTTAAGCCTTGGCTGATAGGCTGGGTCATGTTTTGTCTTTCTGAGCAGACCTCTGAGTACACAGTGCGGATGGTATTTGGATCCCCTCCCCTTTTTTTTAATGTTTATTTTTTGAGAGAGAGAGAGAGAGTGAGCAGAGGAGGGGCCGAGAGAGAGAGGGAGACACACAATTTGAAGCAGGTTCTAGGCTCCCAGCCGTCAGCACAGAGCCCGACAAGGGGCTCGAACCCATAAACTGTGAGATCAATGACCTGAGCCAAAGTGGGACGCTTAACTGACTGAGCCCCACCCCAGGCGTCCCCCCTTTATTTAAAAAAAAAAAATTTAATGTTTATTTTTTGAGAGAGAGAGAGTGTGAGCGGGAGAGGGGCAGAGAATGAAGGAGACACAGAATCAGAAGCAGTGGATCCTTTTTGGGTGTAAATTGTCTGATGTTTCTAAATGATACACTATTTTTAAAAGTGCTCCAGAAGAATAAAATCAGTAAATTCACAGTCCCCACCTTCCCCACCGCGGCGATTATCTTTCCCACCTCAAGGCCTCTAGGAGCCCTTGGCCTGGTAAAGCAGCTGGAGGAGGGACACAGAGCTCCTGCCGGCTTCCTCCTCTAAGCAACCAATGACCTTGGGTGTGTCCTTGAACCTCCCTGAGTTCTAGCTGACCTTCTTGGAGCTAACTCTTCAAGGGACCACAGTCCAATGAATTGCACACGGCCTGTCAACACTGGAGAAGTTTTAAAGCTATTCGCCCAGCCAGGCCAGGTGGCTCCAGAAGAGACTAGGTGGAAATGGCATTCCTCGTTTGGCTCCTTCCCCACCCCCCCC